AGAACCCCTTGATGGCTCTCCGAAAAGACATGACCCTATAATATATGGATCACATTGGATCACGCTTAATGTGCTGAATTTGCCTCAGGACCGCATACTTAAAAAGATCGTCTCCAGAACAAAAAGGGAAAGAAAATAACATCGCCCTAAAGCAAAACCAGGTGTTTCATCGTTTCTTCAGGGGACTACGAGTTGGTGCCTTTCGCGACGTCCGTGAGTGTCACTCGACCCCGGAGACCCCGACCCAAGGGTGTGCGCCAACGCAGAGCTGCCACGCCCACCTGTTTGGTGGCAATCCGTTGGAGATCCCTCAAATGGTGATGGCCTTGCGAAGGCGGCGACGCAATAGGAAAGCGAAGCTTCGGACCAAAGCAAAGCGAACGTTCGGGGGTTCGGACATCCTCAAGTTAGATCCCTATAGGGATCCAAGTACCTTCTCAGAAGGTGGGACTGGGGTGGGTTTGGAGGGTCCAGGTGCCTTCTGAGAAGGTACTTGGATCCTTAGGGCATGATTAATAGATGATTGAAAGGGGAGAAGAAGAGGCCTTTGGCCTCACTGCGGCCTCCAAGTTCATTTGTTGGAACACATGTGACGGAATTTGACTTGGCCCTCGATCAATGGCTTGCCTCGCGGTTTCAAAACCGGCACGGAGATGCTATCTTATGGATTAAAGAAAGATTCAAACGCACACAGTCGCACCACCCGCACATGTATTCCTCCACCTGAGAGCCTTTTTGGCCCCAGAAAATGGCTGTATACTCAGTAATACTGGTCAAACCCTCAAACGCTCAACCGGCCACCACTCTGGCCCAACCGCACCACGGTGAGGTGAGGGTTTCAGGTCTCGGCCGGGGGATTCCTTGGACGAAACCATGGCCCCGCTGAACCATCACCGAGGGCTGACTGTCGAATGGCCGGCATGGCCACAGTCATGGTCCCGGCGGATTCGGGAACAACTCATGAGTCTTGCAGGTGTTTACACCGCAATTCTTTCACCCATGCATGCGCTGGAAGTCCAAGACTACTTTATATATAATGGGCTCCTAGGTATCCAACCGGTGATCCTTTCATGGGAAGTTCTGAACCCTTCGGTGGTCCCAAACATCGTCGCCTTGGACTTCGGCATGGACATGTTCAATCTGAAGACCAAGCATCACCAGTCACCATGCTTCTTTCAGTCTATAAACTCGGAGGGCTGTTCGTATGGTCTGGTGGCGACGCGCAGAACCCCTTCTGGTCTGGGCCGTTCAATGAAAAAAGACGCCAGAAGTTTTGGATGCTCTAGCTTGCTGGCTTGCTAGCTTGCCCCAAAAAGAGGGCTGATGGTGTTAAAGCATGTCAAACCCGCCATCGAATCGACCAAAACATCCGCCATCGAATCACGGAAGCCCGTTTCCACATGACGTCAATGGCCAATGGCCGTTGACCACCATTGAACCGTTTGAAAAGGATCTTAACAGTTTTGTCATTTGCTGCTAAACGCACAACCATGCAGTGTTTTACTCAGGTGAAGAACATGCGATCACTTGATGCTCGAAAGGAAGGCGAACCGGGAAAAAAAAACAAAACACCCAACTCATGAAGATGCTATAAGTCTTCCGTGGTGTATGTGTTGCGCAAATTGGAGGCCGATAGATTTGCTTCATGGTCATGTAGACTGTTGATGAATCCACCGCCAACCGTTCTACCACGGTTTGGAGATGTTTGGAGGGCCCTAATGGGTCCAAAGACTTCCGCTCGAGTGGTCCACCCCCAAAGAAAACCTCGGGATAGGAGTAGACGGCACGGTTGTCCAAGATCTTGGCGGTTTTAGTGGTGCAGCCCCGTCTGTCCAAGCCAAGACATCTTGGGGCGAAACGGGCCACCTCCGAAACCAACGACCTCGCTGTGTTCTCCGATGACCCGCGGCGTCGCGACGCCTTTTTCGCTCCACGATTGGAGCTGCGGTCTGGGGGCTCGAGGGCGCGGCCGACGCCCAACCGTGAGAGCAGAAGGCGAAGATCGTGGGCTAAGCAGCTAAGTAGATCAGGGAAAACATGGAACATGCCGCAGTTGAAGGGTTGGTTCTGCTTGTCGTTTTGCATGCTGCATGCATGTTCCTACCATTCCTCCCAATCACAAGTCGGAGAGAGAGAGAGAGAGAGAGAAAAAAAAAAAACAGAAACATGTCCTTCCTTGAATGGGGATTAAGAATTCAGCAACACGTGCAAACAAGCACCCAGACCATCCCCGGCTATGCATGGATCATCTGTTGTACAGTAGCCAGAACTCCAGTACGGATTGATCTTGTTACTACGGTCTCACTTCTGTCCCATTGGAAAAACTCCGCGTTCCAGGAAGCCTTGCAAGTCAACAAAAGAAACGGGTCTTGCTACCAGCTACCAGGTACAGATTCGCCCAACATCTACACCAGCACAGTCCCGAAAAAGAGCCACAAACAGGAGCCCCGACACTAAGTGAATTAAAAAGGGTGTGTAATGGGGAAACCCGGGAGACCCCAAGCAATGGGTCGACTTGTCTATGTTCCTTCTTTCAGGAGGTCCAGAGCAATGGGTCTGCCACCAATTCTACACCCAGCGCTCTTCGTGCATGTTTCACATCACCTAGCAGCCAGTCACACCTGCTGGCCGACCTTCTTTCCTTAACTCAGCTTGACTCAGCTTGGCTCCGCAGGTTAGCTTCCGCAGGTGAGCTCCGTCGAGCGCCGGCGTTGAATCCAGCGAAAACGTCTACATCTCCAGGCCTGACCAACTTGACATGACTTGGATGCGGGGAGTAAATGGACCAAATCTCTTCTACCCAAGTGCTGCAACTACTTCAATCAAGTAATTACATCATTCAGTCATGTCAAACGAGCTGTTCTATGGAAGCCTTTTTTGGCAAAGTACATCATTATATAGTGCTTTTCTTTTGTGAATCCACTAGACCACTCATAACCCCTAAAGATCCCTAAACGCCCAGGGCACCAGTCCCTCTGCGAGGAAAAGATCCATGCATGAAAACTTCATCACATGTCCATGAAGCTCCTACAACTTCGGTCCACAGGAACTGCCCAGGAGCGCTGATCGTCCCTTTCCTCGAAACTGGCCATGCCAAGGTCTCCTTCTGCGTTCTCCTCGTCTCAAAACAACCCTTAGCCAGGGCAGAACGGTGCTAATTGGTGTGGACCGCGTGTTCGATTGTTGGTGTCGCACTGTTTCAATATGTTTCAACCATTGATTTGGCCCTTGGATTTGGAAGACCCAAACAGCACAACTACCTTGTCGTTGTTTTTGCGAAGGCCCGCGTCTTGGGCTTTCGGCTTTCGGCTCTGGATCTGTGACAGTCCGGACATAGAAAAAGTCAGGCCCTGGTCGAGCTTCGCTGCCAAGATCAGTCACAGCTCGCTTCGCTTTCTGCATCTTTATTCCAAGCTTAAGCTGCCCATGTCAGTCGCGTGGCCGGGTTTGGCAGAGTTCCACCCGAACCATCCACGGGACTGGAAGGTTTACATTGACCACGACATTGACCCTTAAAACAGCTTGTTCATTCCCCCAATAAAACAAACTGTTGAAGCGAAGCCTCAGGTGGGTAGCTCTCAGATGAGGAGCTCTGGGTCACTCGAAGTATATATGCTGGGTGACTCTTTCCCACTTCGTAGCACCGTAGCGGTGGTCCTGCAACCTCTGAAAGGCAGGACTTCTTCATGAAACGGCAAATCTCCTTGGAACGCAAAGGATTTTATGCAGTTGGAGTTGATAGTCTACTGAGTCTACTCTTCTTAGCAGTTTGATGCAGTTCTTTCCCCAAATCCTTTCCAGAATTACTTCATTCTCCAGGGGAGAAACGGTATGGCGGACCAAACGCAGATCGGCGTGTGGCTCGTAGCTTCCGGCGAGCTGGACGAGCAGGGCCTCTTCTGCTTCAGCAGGACGTCTCTCGCTCACCACCAGTTGACTAGAAATGACCAGAATTGAGAGATTGGAGGACGTCTCAACGATCTTGGGCCCAACACAAGATATACATCATGGAACAAAAGCTTCAACATGAAGGAGTATAAGTCTTCCAGCAAAAAAATATGCACACTGTGTGAGCCAAGAAAAGTCGTTCTTCTTCACCTACTGATCAAAAACTTCGGCACAAATCTCTGGGCGCGGACCAGTTGTGCCAGGGTTCTTCTTCACCCAGGGTCGCTGAAGGGTGATTCACGGGGTGAAAACGGCCTTTAAAACAATATAATATATACCCTAGAAGTCCAAAGACTATATTTTGACTGACTGAAGTAAAGTATATTCCTTTTCGTGTCACCTAAAGACCATTCTTTTGATAGTCTTTGACTCCCAGGGTATATATACTGTATATATGACGCTTTAGAAGGTCCGCATTCAGCTGCAGGGGTGAGGCCGAACGAGCAGGTTCCATTTCAAAACACAAGATGGAGTGGATGTCCTGCTCCGCTATCTGCGGCTCGTCTGGAGCCTTCTTTGGTCAGCTGGAGCCTTCTGTAAAACCAATCAGACCAGTCGCAGGTTTGCAGAAGAAGTCCCTATAAAAACCAATCTGGTTATATCTGTATTTGGAGCCTTCTTTGGTCAAAACTGGATCCAGACAGAACTAGACAAGGAATTCCTTTGCGGAGCGTCACATGGTCTATGCACAAACAGTATACAACCCAACTGTGTACAACAGATTTTGTTTGAAACAGCTGCCTCGCTAAGTTGGAGCCGCCCGGCTAAAAAGGTACGACTCGACCACCTGGACAGTTTTCTGGATGTGACGGTGCCCATTTGTACTGCAGTACAAATCGAATAACTGAATAGCTGAATAATTTACACAAACTACCGGACCATTCCAGCATTGTAGACTATCATCCCAGGGCGGTTGAGTACAGTAACTACTACTGTGATACCTGAGTTCTCAACCCATCTCAACTTCAAAGAGTGCATCAAATCGGTTTTCCATATTTTTCAATGTTTTCCTAAATAAACGACTATACTATAAGTTGAGAACTCAAATAAGTTCACCATCTCAACTGATCAAATCATCTTTCCACCCTTCTCGCGGTCCTGGCGTTCCTTAAGCCGCATCCGTTTCATCAACTCACGCGAGCCTTTCAGGAAGGTGAGGCAGTCCTCCGGGTCCTACGGACGTGGCGCCATGGGATGGCACGGCCATTACCTGGAGGTCCTTGATGGTCCATGTTCCATCCGAACACCGTTTCCAGGTGTGGCGAACTCCACTTCCAATTCTTCGCGTCCGATCGCTCCGTTCGAGGCGCGATGCCCGTTGCTCCGTTCGAGTCGCGATGCGATCGCTCCTAGTAGTACGGCCAGGAGCCCCGTTCGTAGCGTCCGATCGCTCCTACTGTAGCGGAGTGTCATGCCTGACTTGTAAGCCTCAAACACTCCAAGCAGGCCGAGTTTCGGGCCGACTGTGGCCGTCGGGTTCTTCATTGCTGAAGCTGCACCTTCAAAATCCAAGAACCAATGTCAAAGGGTCCATCATGTACTCTTGACACATGGACAAATTGGATACACATTAATGTGCCTGGTGTTCCAACGTTGCCCGATCCCAGCGCTGTATCATACAGTACAGGATGCCTCGCCCATTTATGGGGGTACCACGCTGTAGCCCAATGAATCAATTTGCAGTCCAAAAAGATCCCAAAAAGGGGTAGTGGTCGATTCGAGCTGATTCGAGCAGGTTTGCCGGGTTCCAAAGCTGGCTGGTCTTGGCGACCTTCTTTCTCGCTCACCTGGACGACCATCATCCAGCTGTCCTGCGCTCTGGTGTCGTTCACATCCAGCAGGAAATACCCATCGATGGCCTCGCCAGAGAGAAGGGAGGACTGATCCGAAACTTTGGCAGACTGCAATTCTTCATGTCCATCGACCCGGTTTGCCACTCGATAGGCCAAATACTTTTCCAAGAGCCAGCGACACGAGTAGACCGACCGGTCCTGGGGGGCGCTGGTTCCGCGACACGGTCGAACCTCTTCAGGCGCCCTCAGGACGAGCCTGCCGGACCTGCGGCCCGGCTTTGCTTCGGTCCCGGGTCCCGGATCCCTCCGGATCCGGTCACCCGTCTTCCGTCGCGGGAAAGCACCGAAAAAAACCGTCAGGTCCGCGCCGCTGCCGCGCCGCACCTCCGGATCCTCTGGATTGTCCTCCCACACCGAGAAGGGCCGAGGCCAAACTCTCACGACCACTGCGCTGTTGAGAGGGATCGGGTCCTGCGACGGACGCGACGGACCGAAGGAACAGCGGAGGTCGTGTCCGAAGAAAAACGATGACTTGGGGGGGTGACGGCAAAGTCTATGACCAATGACATCATGAGTCATGATATGTCATGACTTTTCACTACTGTTCATATATTCATAGGCATGAAGCGTTTGTTGTTCATCTTGAAGCAACATTGAGTTCGATATCGCGCTTCTTTTTGAGCAGGAAACTCCCCATGACAGCCACTTCGCAACTGCTTGTTGAGTGAAGATTGAGTGAACATCACCTTGATGTAGATGGTCCCCGCCCATCTCCAGAATTCCAGAATGGGTTTACATCTCCAGGGATGGAGGGTTTTATGGTCTATATTTATCAACATTCTACCTTACTGGGTCTTTTGAGGGGGAATTGGCCTGATGTCTTCCGCTCCGTTGCACAACTGGGCGTTTTCCCGGTAGCCGTGGCCATCTCCCCATGTTTCCTGCGAGTCTTCCGAAGGTTTGGGAGGCCAAGACTCGTGTTGATGAAGAACATCACCCGGACATTGGTTGCAAAGCCATGTAAATTACCTCCTTAATTGGCTTTTTTCGTGAGCCGGCAGATCCTGAAATATAGTATATGCCATAGCTGGGGTTTAGGGTCGTAGCTCATACATATATATATATATATAGGTCTGTTGGCCAACGCTCCCCATGCAAGACCAGAGGACAATAATTAAGCCAAATCTGGGCGCTCAGCATCCTCAATATGTTGACGTCCAGCCGATTCCAAGTGGGGGCAATCTCCATCTACTCAATCCACTCGAAATGCTCGTTTGTAGGGAAAACAATAAGATTGGCCTCCCCTCCTGCAGTGCGAGCTGGAACCCACCATTCTCAACAGCAAAAAGTGGGACCAAAGGGCGCCAGTGGAGCACGTTAGCTCATCGTCTCACTGTCATCTGCCTATCACCATGGCAGGTTGGCCTCAAACGCCCTGAGTTGCCAGGGGTGGCACACGGACCCTGTCACAGGGGCTCTGCAGCCACCAAAAGTGCTCCGTGTGAGGGCCACCAATCAAACCAGGCACCTCCTCGACTCTATGACAGAGCTGCGCCCCACACCCGGCCAACGGTGTGAGGGTGTCGTCGGCCCACAAACATCTTGTGGACCCCGGTGAGCGACACCCTTTGGGTAGGGCCAACAGAAGAAGCGGACAGAAACATCGGAGGTGAAACCAAGTCGCCGGACGTCTGCCGAAGCTTCACATGCTTGATGTGGTTGGAAACTCCAAGTCAAGCTGGAATGAGCAAAAGGCTTGGACAAGTTGCAACTCCTGACTGAAGCCTTCTTGCAAATCTTCGGGAGATGTTCTGTGAATGAGAAACTCCCGCAAGTGCTACGCAAAATGTGAGAAGCCATGACCAATAATATGAACCCATGAGGCCAGCCCCGTGCTCACCAACCAGATTCCCAACAAACAATCAGGCGCATCTACTTCTGGAACACTTTGGATTCTCCATAAAGCTCCTGCAACTCCACCCACTTTGTCAAACTTTGGCCTCCCCTCCTGCAGTCTGAGCTGGAAACCGCACTTCTCGACAGCTTGAAGGCGGAACCCAGAGGGCGCCAGTGGAGCACGTTAGCTCATCGTCTCACTGTCATCTGCCTATCACCATGGCAGGTTGGCCTCAAACGCCCTGAGTTGCCAGGGGTGGCACACAGACCTCTCAAGAGGGGTCTGGTGACAGAGCCACCATCCAGAGATACACTGTGTAGTCGGCCACCAGTCAAACCGGACAACTCCTCAATTGGGGAACAAGGCTGCGCCCCACACCCGGCCAACGGTGTGAGGGTGTCGTCGGCCCACAAACATCTTGTGGGCCCCGGTGAGCGACACCCTTTGGGTAGGGCCAACAGAAGAAGCGGCGAGAGGCCCGCAAACTGCGAAAGGAACCGACGTTGAAGCGAAGAAACAAAGCTGTGCAAAAGGTTCGAATCTTCTGATGTGCCAAATAGGCTGAGCGTCATTGCCCTTGTCTCTGCTCAGGGTGATGAGTTTAAAAGTATGAATGTCTGCTGCCAGTAGCTGGTTCTATGTTAAGCATGCCTGGGTCTCGGAGATGAACCACCAGCAAAAATGGTAGCAACCTGCAGATTCCCGTCGGAGCTCGGACCAGGTCGGACGTCCTTGTCGTCGTCGGGGTCAAATTGCTCCTGGGGATGCCAGAATCGAGAATCGAGATGGTGCGACGTGTGGGAATGGGTGTGGCTTCTTTCAGGATCCATTCAGCTAATCGATATATCTCGAGGGCGAAGCTTCTGAACCCCCATGAAATGGCATCTTTAATTAATCTTTAAGGCTGCAGTCAGGCGTGAAGGCTCAAACTGGCAAGATCACCAACAGGCTTGATGTTCTTCAACCACCCCGAACTCAATCTGGAGACAGCAACAGTGAAATCGTACAATATTTGCTGCCTGATTCATCAGCAGCCCTGTTGATCATTGATGAGACCTATTTCAACGACACCATGCTGAGTTGTTGGAACAGAACAAGCACAATCAATCGATTCTGGCTGCGGGAGGACAAAGCCCCATCGGGGGTATATACGCCCTGTCGGGTCCTTGGGTATTAGTGTTGTATGTAGTTTTTAGATGTGGTTGCAGGTTCTAGTTGATTGGGTTCTCCAGTGGGTGAGTGGGAAAATGATTCGTTGCTTTCTGAGTTGCAAAACAGCGAGTGAACACCGGTTGTCCATCGAAATGCTCATCGAACGTGTCATGAAGATATTGAAGATTGAGATCATATTCGTTTATATATATATATATATATTATTCATGTCCAATTCGTGCGGGAAAATGAACAATCGACCTCTTATGACCTGTGCCGTCATCAGAGAGGGCATATTTCTGATGAGCTTTTGGCCACTTGAACACCCTGGCCTTGTTCTGCGGCTCCAGGCCCAACTGCCGGAAAGAAAGTAAAATGAATCTATCGATGTCGACCTCCTTTGGGACATCATGAACCTTCCAGATTTCACGGCATCCCACTAGAAGGATGTATCACTGATCGCATCTGTCTTAGCCCTCCGAGCAGCGCCCTGCCTCGGGCAAGGGGAACCGTGACTGAATGACACCAAGTGCCGGATCGCGCGCCACGTGCCCGGAATCGCGCGCGAGAAAAAAAACACCGGCAGGATCATCGAGGCTCCAAGTGGAAGACTGGCAGCAAGGTGCTCTCAAAGGCGCGAAACTTATTCAGCATCACACCTGCTAAGGCCACAGTGTCCTGGTGCACACCACCCACCGCGATGGGCGCTGTGCAGCATGTATTGCTGTGTGTGGTCCGTCGTCTGCAACGAAAGACGACGGATCGGCGGCCCCGGGAAGAGGCCGGACAGCCGAAAAGGAAGGGATATGATTCTTTGCGATTTGATTCATGTGTGTGCTTTTCGATTGATGCTTTTCATGTTTGTGTTGCTTTAAATGTTTATATTTTCATGTTTGTGTTTTGTGCTTTTCGATTGTGCTTCATTCTGAGGACTCCCTTATGAGGCTCTATAGTAGAGAACCAACAATGAGGATGCACTTCTCTCCACAGCAAAGTCTGCATATCGCTTCAATGCATGTTGCGTGCAACTGTGCCAATTCTTGGTGTCAGGAAAAGGTGGGACGCACCACCATGGCACATGACGCACCATCACCCCACACATGGGACGATCGAGTCAGAGTCAGCAGAGTCCGCACCGATGCTCTCCATGTGCGTGTTTACTTACATCAAATCAGGTCACAGGTCCCAAACAAACTTGTCGTTCGGAAGTCGACGTTGAAATCCGCTTGAGGACCCATACGTCAGTCATACGTCAGTCATACGTCAGTCCTTCGGTTTTTTGAACAACCCCAGGGCTATGTACTCATGAGATTGCTGTGAACAGCATGCAGGTGACAGACGGGGCACCCGTGCGGTGACGTTCTGGGATGCAGTGACGTTCTTCAGAGGTGGCGTTCCATCTGTTCTGTACCATCTAAATCCATGGTGTGTTCCTTCTCCTTGCAACGCCTGAGTGTTTCTTCATGCGAGTTCTTCTGGCGAGCCGGGCGCCCTGTGTGTGTGAAGGCTAAACATAAACAGTTCCTGTGGCTAAACAGCATCCCAGAGATGGCAAGAGGTGCCTAATGTTATTGGACCCGCCTGTCCCCCCTCCCCCCAAAAAAGGACACAAATTTCGAGAGGTGCCAACACTTCCCATGGTCTCTGCATGTCTTCCTGGACCAACTTGGCATTCAGCAAGATCACGGGCACTTTCCTCAGTGAGTCCGTCGTCCAAGTCTCTGTCCCCTTCGAAACCCTGGAGGGAGGGCTTAGTATGTCACTCCCCTCCGTCTTCAAATTTAGTCGGTTCTCTTCATCCACACATGAGACCAACAAAAGGAACAGATCCTGGAACAAGCCTTCGAGTTTTTGAGAGGAAACTCCATATCAGTGGCCTTGCAGACCGGGGGGTTAACACAAAAGGCATGTGGCAGCTCACTCGGGACGTTTTTTCATCCTCTGCCGTTTGGTTTTTCACAAATCCGAGGCTGAGCTCCGCCAAAAGGCGTTCTTTGGATACCTTGTATCTTCCCAAGAGCTTGGTGTTGTTTGGTCACAAAACTGTTTAAACACTCCAGACACGTCACGTACTGCCATCCCCATCCCATCCTCCAAAGGCCCCTTAGAGGAAAACACCTTTGAAGAGCAATCCGCCTCTTTATTTGGGTGGCCAGGAACAGGTGCAAAAACGATTGCTGATTGAAACTGCTTCCAAACTGCAGAATTTGAGGACGGGCTGTTTGGACTGAATTGACTCCCAACTTGCCTTCTGACCACCTTCTGGAACTGAACATTTTAAATCGTGCTGGTCAGAAGGCGTGTGTTTGGATCATTGAAAGGTCAAATCAACCAGAACATGCTTGCCACCCTTCCATGTATCCCAGACTGGGACATCTCACACTGGGAGCCTAGCTGTTCAGTCAAACACTGGGACGAAAGCCTCGGAAAGGAAAGAACCTATTGCTTTCAGCCAGGACGTCATCAGGGATCTTGATGTGTACTTGCAAACATCCAGTGAGACATGGTGATGTTTCCCCCAGGGCCCGTCCTGACTTCCAACAGCGGCGTAATAGATTACGTGATTCTTTGACACATAGAACCTCGAAATGCCACACACACGATCCGAGCCACTGGATCCTTTTCCTGCGCACATACGCGCACATAAGTCTTCCTGGCTAAGCTGTGTAACTTCTGCGACCTGCTTTGTAAGACCAACACAGCGCAGCCAAGAAAACTTAACATTCTCACTCACTATAGCGAACTTTGTACATGAATGATGAACGCTAAGATTTTGATGGTGACCCATGTGTTCAAACTGTTGCCCTTCCATGTGCAGTTGATGGACCTTGTTCTATGTGCATCCGCGGATGTGCATCCGTCTGAAGACATGGAACCGATCAACAACCGCTACTCTCTTGGAACATCTGGTAATTAACATCTGTGTGAAACATCCTGAACGGCGAACAAGCATATGTTTTTTCCAAGTCCATCAAGTTCTATATTATATACTTTTGTCTGCCACATTTTGACCGAACCAGGCCAAGACTATCCAGGACACCAAGACTATCCAGGACCTTCACTTCACAGCCGCTTGAAAAATACCAAAAACAAAACAAACCGATCACCGCCCGCCATGGTCCATGGTTGGATAAAGCTTGACTGCTCTTCTTGCTCTTGAGCATCACCCCAAAAGATCTCTGTGAGTTCTGAGGACAACTCTTTTGGCCCTCACACCCTCAGCGGAAAGGGAACACGCTCGCAGCGGCGAGCATCCGCTGAACCACCCTGACACCTCAGGACCTCTCTGCCCAAGGCTCTTCCCGAGGTCTTTCATCACATCAAAAATCCCCAGAACCGCTGCCATCTCGGATTGGTTGGGTGCCACCACCTGAGCATCGGGTCGACCGCGACCGACCAAGGCGGTGGAACAAAGCCACCAACCTCCGCGACGTAAGTCGGTGGGAAGTCGATGCCATCAATGCAGCCAAGAGGTACGGTCCAATACTCTAACACGATGGTCAGTCGTCTGTTCCAAAGCAAGTTTATTTGTATTTACACACCTGGCTTGCAGATTCCCAGATGGCTGACAGAGAACAGCTTCATGTTTTCTTTGGTCTTGCGAGTAAATCTCTCTGGTTTTGCACCACCCAAAAGGTCATGGCCAAGCAAAGCCCTAGGCCCTAGAAGTGGGTGACAGTAGAATTGGGAACCCAAAACAACGACGCCATGCAGAGACATGCAAGGTCTTTCCACCATCTCCCCCTAGGGTTCCAACCACCCCCTGAGAAGGTGGTTGGGGTGGGTTTGGGGGGTCTAACCACCTTCTGAGGATATAGTTGGAGCCCTAGGGCTTCATCCATCTCCCTTCATCCATCTCCGCCTCCCCGGCAGCCACGGCAGCCACGGCACGAGCATCACAGAGGACTCGCACATCTCGCTGAGCTTCGTTCGCTCCTCCATGCGCAGCTCACGCTTGGGGAGCACCGGCGGCAAGTGATCCAGGATCCTCGGCCGGAACCGGCAAACGCACGGTGCGACGTGCGAACTCGTCCGGAAGCGCTCCTTCCATCACCCCATCCAATGGTCCCTGTCCAATGTCTAGACCCTATGGATCGAGAGAGAAGATGGGATCCCATCCCGAACTCGGTCACCTCGGTCTGCTTCCGCTTCGTTGGCAACTCGTCTGCTTCCCAGCAGGCTGAGACAGAAAGGCTCGCACCAAACATAAAGAAACGGTGCATTGCCAAGTGGAGCGCAGAAGAACTTGATTCACTTATTGCAATACCCATTTGGTGGCCAGGTTCTACATGTTTTGTCTGCTGCACTCCTGAACAACTGCCACTCCAGGGATTTAAACATTGTCTACTGTACTGCTCTGTCCACATGACTACTGCTATGGCGTTCTGCATTTTGTTGAAACGTGTTGAAACAAAAATGATCACTCCAACATCATTTATGTAGACTCTTGAGGCTCTTGATTAATAAACTCCCCATATGAAGAGGATGTTCCACTTCAATTGGGTGCTTTATTAATCAAGAGTCTACATTATCACACATGTGACACAAGGATACACATGGTCTTTTCGTCCTTGGAACCACCACACCATCACAGGCCCCCTCCCATTGTCCCTCTCGCTCGAACTTCTCGCCGTTTCACTTGGATTCCGCTCGGCCCAGCGCACGCGTGACGGAACCTTCGCCCCAGCGTCAGGTTCTCGGGGAGCGGGTTCCATCGCGTGGCGACCAAGCTCTTAGCGCCGAAGTCGGTGAAGAGCACCCGAACGCCGGTGCCCTCCGGGAGCTTGTTGGACAAAGCGAAGGTCTTGGCCACCTCGGAGACGGGCGGTCTGGGTGTGGGAATAGATGGTAGACGGGGGCTGACCCAGGAAGTTGACCCAGGAGGAGAGAGTGTTCAGTGTGAAATAGACCAGCATCCCCATTCCATGGGATTATCTCGGGAATTCTCTGGATATCCCTCAGCATATCTCAGCATCGTTTGAAGTCTAACTCCAAGGGATATCTTTCGCAATATAGAAATGCCACGCAAACAACAAAAGACTCCTAAAGTCACCTCGGTACACCCCAGTCACCCCCCAGTCGGCGTCACCCAAACCCCCTCCAGTCGGCGTCGCCGCTTGGGAACGCGTCTCCGTTCCACGCTCCGTGGCCGGCCTGTTCGGCAAACTGAAGGACGCCGCCCAACTCACCTGCGCCCATGGCGCACGGAGAGGGCGGCGGCGGACCAATCATGACTGGACCCACTCGCGTCTTCCGAACGAAGCGGGCTCAATGGCGTGAAAAAGGCCTCTCCACCGTGAAACGATAAAAAGCGGTGGCCGCCAAAGCCTATGCGTTGCTGAAGGGGCTGGGATTTAGGGACGACTATAGTACGGCTCGGGTGGCTCGGGTTGTTCCCTTAGTCACCCCTTGCCACTGCTTCAATGCCCGACACTCCATGGGACTGCCATATATGCCAATCAATTGACCCCCAGTCAACCACCCCTGGGCCGTTTCTGCAGTCCTATGGCAGTCCCAGACGGGTCGTGTCTGGGAATGCTCAATGGTGACGACATGGTCTTAGTGCCCTGTGCCCAGCGCCGTGGGGTCCAATGCCACGCCCTGAAATCCCACGAAACGTGCGCTCCGCGCTCCGATCACCGGTCAGAACGACACGAGGGCCAGCCCAGGCAGGGCCCGTCAGTCAGTCCAAATCAAAAGACACCGGACTCGGAGCTTTCGTGTCTTCCGCGCCTGTCACTTGGCTGTCCTCTGCGCCAGTATTGAAGTACATCGATTGGCGGTTTTGACCTTCCTCCGGATGCCGCGGCTTGGATGTGGGCGTGGCAAAGACCATACGAGACTGGACAGGAAAGGATCTAAGCAGCAAACCTTTTCCGGCTGCCGACCAAAGAACATCAAAGAACACTGGCTGTGCTTCCTCTCTTTGCACATGCGTCCCATCACATGCCATTATAGTCAAGGACTCTCAGTAGGCAGAAACCGTCCCAGGGCTGGTCTTAAGCAGAA